TTGCGTAAAAATTGTCTCGATTGAGGACATCCCATTCTTTCATACATTCTCCTTCTAATCATTATTTACCTTCTTCTATACATTTATTATATTTAATATCAGTATTATTAATTATCTCAATAAATCCGTTTCCGTTTTTGCATTTTCCAATTGGTGTATTTGTATTTACACAATTATCTTCACAACATTTGCGAATGTTATCAAAATACTTCCATTTATTTTTAATTTGTGTATATTTCTAAATAATTTGTTTATTTAAATAAATAAAATAACTAGAGATCGTACCGATACAAGATTTTAAAAGAATTTCGGTTATCGAGATTTTTTTGATATCGAACTCGATTCTCGTACGACCTGCTGCATTCGCTTAATCAAATAAACAATTTGCATTTTCACATGCAAATATAAAGTTGACCTATTTCTAATTATAAAGGTCTCCCGACATTCCCAACCAATTCTTGACTCTTATCTTATCTTTATTATTCACTTTCTGTTTAAATATTGACCCTTAAATTGTTCTATAAATACCCCTGCCTTTTCCTCATTATCAGACTTGGCCCAACCATTTCTCTTCCTTATTATTGTATCCCATATTTATATGGAGAATAAATGAATAAATAGAATAAATACTTAAATAATATAATTCAGTCTAATAGAAGTCCCCAGAATAGTAGAACCCGAGTTAAGCTATATAATACTCAAATATAGCACGACCCCAGTTCGATCTCTGTTACTAACCGGTTTTTTAGTAATAAAATTGAATAAATGTTCTTGTTCTTTTGTTATATTGTCTATTTTTTTATTCAAAGCGTTGACTGTTTCATTTGCCTTTAATTTAAGAAAAGTTTTTTAATCCTACTCGTATTTATGTTCAGTATTTTTTATGTAGATTCTATGTGGACGGAGTTACCCAAGTCCTCGAGATTTCTGAGTATTACAGCCAATTTTAAAAATATCAGAAAAACGATTTTAACCTTCAGAAATTTCGAGGAAAAGCCCCACTTTGCAACACTTGATTGACGCCTAAAAGTTCATGGACGTTTATAAACTATACCAGCGCCAAACCTAAAAAATCAGTCCCCGATTTAAAAAAATCATTAAATGCATAAAAATCACAACTCTACGGATAACCAATATGTACATCCCATAGAAGAAAAAATGGGAAGTAACTAGAACATTTAAATCATCTACCTTTTTGAGTTCACATTCCAATAAATTTATTTTTTCATCTTTTTGTTGAATTATTTTTTCTAAATTTATAATTTTGTCTTTATTATCTTCCTCTATTTTTTGTATTTTTAATTCCAAAGAATGATAATTTTCTTTAAATTGTTGTTCCAGGTTGTTGGTTATTTCATTTTGGAAAAGCTTAATTTTTTGATCATTATCCACCTCTAATTTATTCATACACTAAATAAGTATATAAAAAATAATTAGATATACTATTTGTCCTTATGGGCCCGTAGAATAAATTCGGGGTAAGAGTTATTTAACCCCTACCCGAGGGTCAAATAACTCTCAACCCGCAGCATAAATTCCTACCCTGAGTTCAGGGTTAAACAACACGGTAGGTTAACCCAAAACCCCGAGTAGTTTTTCATATTGATATAATAAATTGGTTACCCGGGTTAAATAACCTTCAGTTAAGGGTAAAATTGCTACACTGTCGGGGGCAGTGTAACAGGGTAACTAGCTTCTGGAATCTCTTTCCGAAATATATCAAGTTTCCAAAATTATGAAGAAAAATTTTATATTCAAAAAATGAAAAAAATATATTTATGAAAATTTTTTTTGAAAGTCCGGATCCGGATATAGAAATCAGGATTCTCGGAACTTGATTTGGAAAGTCGGCCCAGATGGGAAAAAATATAAAAATCCGGAAACCGGATTCAAAACTTCTAACTTTAATGATTTTACTAAAAAATTAAAGCTGTTTAAAAGAAGTTCAATATAGAAACTAAAGGAAAGAGATGAGTGAGTTACAGTAATCTCAAGTCTGGAGTAAAAATGCTAATTTATTCTACGGAATTTATTCTACCAATTTTACTCGGAATTCGAGGTTATTTAACCTGGTTATTCTACCGGTTATTTTACCCCGAATTTATTCTACGGGCCCTGATCAGGAATAACTGCCAAAAATATACTTATGTTGGCAGATGATTCTTAATTTCAGACTATCGAATATCTTTACATATAAAGATTTTAAACTTTACAACAAATTACCTCTTTAATATCCTTTTCCATTGAAGTTATTTTTACTTCTTTTTCACTAATAATTTCTTCCAAATTCGAAATTTTGTTTTTATTTTCTTTCTCCAATTGTTGATATTTTTCTTTATTTTTTTGTTTTAAAATTTTTATATTAGCCTCGTTTTCTGTCTTTATCTCTTTAATTTCATTTTGAAATTTCAATAAATGTTTGTATTGATCACGTTGTATATCACTCATTTGCTAAATTTAAATTAACAATCTCTGACAGGTGGCAACCCTGAAGACATGCTTGGAATATCGAGGGAAGTAGTTAACCACCCCCCGTAGTAGTTACAGCACCACCGAGGGTTGATTTTGAGGACTTAAGAGTTATCGATGTATTTGGTGTGATCGAAGGGGATAGAGATCAGGGATGCTAGAAATTTCGTTTAGTTTCGCTCTTTCGTGCCCTTTTTTCCGTTTCGTTTCGAAACGAAATAGCCAAAACTTTTGGATGAGGAGACAAGTATATTTATATAATTTCTACGGTTTTAACCTTCATGACTAAAACATTTAAATCTACCTTTTTAACTTCCCCTTCCAATGAATTTATTTTTCCATCTTTTTGTTGAATTATTTTTTCTAAATTTGTAATTTTGTCTTTATTTTCCTCCTCTATTTTTTGTATTTTTAATTCCAAAGAATGATAATTTTCCTTAAATTGTTGTTCCAGATTTTGAAATTTTTCAGTTTCTTTGTTGGTTATTTCTTGTTGTAAAAGTTTTATTTTTTGGTCAAAGTTGTTTGGGATATTTACCAAATTTTTATCATTATCAACCGTTAATTTATTCATGTACTGAATACATAAGATTTAAGACACTATTTTGTATTAGTATTTTAATTTTATTTGAATTCCACCGCTTTTCCTGTTTCCCTTACAATTCTGAGATTTTTTCCTGGTATATATTTTAGTATTATATGTATATCATTTAAAAAAGCTCTTATAGAGACACATAGCGCAGGTCCCTGAACCGCATATCCGAATATTTTCAAGGATTTACATAACATAAGTTCTAAGAAAATATTTAACTCTTGCGATTTAAGAAGTTTAGCAAACGATAATACTGCATTGTAGAGATGTCCGGTACTCTTGGTCTCAGTCTTGGAACCAAGACTTTTTCTTGGCTATTCAAACTTTCATTTTAATTAGGTTATAATTCAGTAAAAATATTTTTAAATATAATTTTTTCGACAAATTTATTTAACCTCCAATTTCTCTATACGTTGTAACAAACTTTCAATTGTATTTTGTGATAAACCACAAAAATCTTTTGTCGCTTCATCTTCTTTATCTACTACAATTGAAGAATTTGTTTCATCTTCAATTTTATTTGAATTATCAGAACTGTTTGTACAAAATGACCATTCTTCTAATTGTTTTTTCATTTTTAAGAACAATTTTCTGAAAAATTTAAAAGTAAAATAGAAATTGGAATTAATTAATAGTATTAAATTTAAATAAATAAAATTTATAAGCAGTTTTCTGTATTTAAGTTTAACATGTCGGAGTTTACATTAATGTGACCCAGACATTTTACTGAGAAAATAAGCGTCCTTTCTCTATAATAATTGAAAAAAGTATGTCAACCCAATGAGGCAATAAAATAAAAGAAAAAATAATTTTTAGAAATCTTAAAAATTGATAAAGTGATAGAATAATCAGTTGAATTTAACCATTAAATAATTTTATAATTTTCCAAAACGTGACTCAACGGTTTTAATTTAGATGTTCATTTTACTGTAAAATATTAGAAGCTGATACCTGCATTTACCCCGATTTTATGTTGATTTTCTGATTTTCAGAACTCGATGAACATTGTATCAGACTTTTAGCAAGAACCACAGGAAAAAAACTTTCTTCTTTAAACTACTCTTCTACTTTTACAGTTTTATCTACTACAGTTTTGATTTATTTGATCATTTATTTAAATTATCGTACATAACAGGGATCGCGCCGGCAGAAAATCAATTTCGCGAATTTTGGGAATTCCGAATTTAAAAAAATTATGAATTAACGATTTTTGGGAGTCGTGAATCGAGTCAGCGCGATCCTTGATACATAATATTTTCAGAATTTTAGTGCGAAATGCCCCTTCTTTTTGTGTTTTTATTTTTATTCTTAAAATTCCTAAATTTTAAAATAAATACATATTTTTATTTTATTTAAAAAGAAATAGAAAATAAAGAATATCTACATTTTTAATGATTCAATTCTTCAAATCATTTTTCTTTTTCAAAATAGAAATAATTAAATAGTCATTAACAAAAAATCCTTTTAATTAAATATAATTTTTCCATTAATAACATCTTTTACCACATTCTCATATGATTCAAATTTGCAATAAATTCCCAATGCTGCCATTCTAATCGCTAAAGGGTTTCTAGATCCTTCCAAATATTTTTTCTCAATTTCCGACAATTTTTCATTTTTCTCTTTTAAAAGGAGTAACTCGAAATTATTTGTTGCCATTTCTTTAAAATCATTGTCGTCCAATTCTTCCAATCCATTAACTTCTTCTAAATCCCTCTTCTTCCTTCTTCCACTACAACCTCTTTTTCTTCTTCCTCCGACTTCTTTTCCGTTTTCCCATCCACAACCCCACAATCCTCTTCTTACTCTTCCACCTGAAAATAAGATATTGACGGGTCTTGAAAAAGCATAGGATATTAGGAACCGGGATACCCGAAGAGGACATATTCATATATCCAGGATTTATTATTTTCGGATTAGAGGTAAACAAAAAAATTTTCTAACGTTTTATGGTTCGTAGTTTTTCACGGAATTTTAAAGAATTCATGACTCGTGTTTCATTCAAAAATTTATTATGCTCTTTTTTTTGTTTTTCTTTAAAACTTTCCGTTCGTTTTGTTCCTAAATCGGATATCAGAAATTCCCAACACTTACCTGGAAAGGCTGCCTGTCGAAAATATTTACATAACTCCTTTGGAACTGTATAATTTTTGTTTTCCTCGAAGAATTTATAAATTAATTTAATCAACTCCAAACAATGTTCTTTGTGGAATTGAAGGTGTTCTTCAAAGTTTGGATTGTCTTCTTGTAATATATCGATACAATGAATTCCGTGAGTGATTAAAACAGAAATTGAAGTAAAATCTTCTCTAGGCCAAGGAAGGCCGTCTTTGCAGGATGAAAAAATTAAATTTTTATTTGGATTGCATAAAGAAGGAGATTTTTTATTTAAAATTGTTAAAAGTGATTGGATTTGTAAAAATATTAAAGTAAAAACTAATAAAATAAATATTTTGGTTTTAGATGACATTTGTAAAATTTTGGGGAGAATTTAAGTGTTTAAAAAAAAACTTTTTTTAATCGGTAAATAACTTTGACTAAGAAATCATTTTTGTGTAATAGAACAAAATTAATATTAATTGTTTATTGATCCGTTCAAAATTTATTAATGGGCAAATCAGCAAAATGTTTATTTATGTTTAAAAATATTATTTAAAAAATAATACCTATTTTGTGAAGGAATGATTGATCAAGAACTAAAACAATTTTATAGTTTGTGAATTATAACTTTTGTATTATTATTAAATTGCTTAAAATCCCACGAATATTTTGATAGAATTTGGAAGAACTCTAATTAATTAGCATTTAGTCTATTATGTAAATTAATTTTATTTCTGGACGATATACAAAAGCTGTTTACAGAATAACGATGATAATTGTTATCGTGTAAAGCATATCGCTATTAATTTCCTAAGGCTATGCAGTAGGCGGCGTGGTGTAATGGCTAACACATCAGTCCGGTCTACTGAAGATGCTGGTTCGCTCCCAGCCGCCGAATAACCTTTTGCACTAGCTAAAGGAGAGAAATAGCTATAGCCCAGCTGCTTTACTATCGCAAATAGTGAAGTAGCATGCAAGATTATTAATGTTATATATCGTTTGAAGCAATTTTAAAAAATGTTAAGAATTTTTAAAAATATGAATGATTTTTTATTAGGGGTTTTGATACAATTTTTTTAAACATAAAACTGGTTTATCACGTTTTTGATAAATTTGTTGGTATTAAAAATCAAAATTAAGATATGAATAATTAAATTAAGATATAATAATTTAAAATTAATTTCCATTATTTTCTGTATCCTTTTGCGGATGACAATTAATATGAGTGACAAGAATCCATTCTCCTTCGGGGTTCTGCCAGTACCATTTGGCTTCATCGGATCCAATCAATTTCTAAATGTAACTTTTAATTAAATCACATAAAATGAAAGGACCTTGCAACGGAAAAATGCTCCATAACCACAATATGTAATCCTATCCTTCCCTTTGTAACAATCCCAAAATTTAACTTGAATATGACCGTTTATCTTAAATAGTTAATCAATTACTTGAAACTTCTCGATAAACATACAGTTAATTTTTTACCATCACCAGTACAAAGAATATCAAGTTTTGGCCCGTTAAGTGGTCTATCGACAGTCCTTCTTAATTCTGAATCTGGGTGACCTTTTTCGTCGATAATTGACTGATTGACGTTTTTACATGTATTTGCCGGAGTTGAAGGTGTAAGTTCTAAAGAACCTCTATAACCGAATATTATCGAATATAACCTGCTAGGTAACCAATAATTGCCTTTCCTTTACCATGCTTTGTTATAATAACTTCTGTGTCCGACTCGGCTTTTATAACAATAGGCATTAGACGACCACAACAAAGTTGGGCTCCTAAATATTTATTGAATAATTTAAATCATCTTTGCTTGATTGCTGCTGTTCACAGCATCTTAACCTGTTACTTTTAGCCGTTTCAGTGGCACTGAAATAAATAAAAATACTGTATCTTTTTCTTTTCCCCACTATTTCTTTCGCGTGCTATTTTCTAAAGATTTGGGGGTTGCAATTTCGAGAAGCTTAATCTCGAAAGAACTCCTTTTAAAAAAATTTTTGTCCAACCCAAATAATGAAACGAAGTCTTATCTTTGTTTTAAAACCAAATTTATTAATTTTTGGAATGGGAAAATTTTTTTTTGAATGGCCAAATAAACCAGTTTTAAAAAGTGAAAAATTAAAGTGAAAATTTATTTAAAAAATTCATTTTACTTTAAAAATGACATTAAATGTTAATTATCAAAGATATTATTGGGATTTACCCTTTATATAAGTCATAATAATCGATTGGGTTCGAACCTTACACTTAAAGTGGGCGCGCTACCAACTAAGCCACAAGTACCGCGATGAAAGGCGAGTAACAGCCTCTGCCTATTTTAAGATGCTGTGGCTGTTGTCTCACTTTCTAGGATTATCCACTGTAAAGCTTATAGCTATTTAATTACCGTAAATACTCAATTGAAGCCCACCTCTTGTAGAAGCCCACCTCTAATATAAGCTCATCTGAGGAGACCCATTGAAAATTATTAGTCCTGGGCTTCAATTAAAGTATTTACGGTAATAAGGTTATCCCTAAGGCTTTCCATATCTTTGGGTTTCCTGATCTGACTTCCGAACCAAAGATTTACGAATATATCTTATCTTTTTCAGATTCAGATATCAAGATCCGTCAAGCTTAATAGAAGGAATATCGTTATAATTTACCAGCTACAGATTTATCTTTATTGTATTGTATTTCAATGTAATCTTCTTTGCAAGGATAACTGCAATTAACTCCATCCAATTTCTCTACACTTACAATTGTGTATTTTGATGGAATTCTATCATTACTTTTAATGTTACGCTGAATATTAAATAATTTTTTATAGCTTGTAAGACTGATTCATACTTTTACGATCCAAAAATAATCTCCTTGATCATCTACTTTAAAATATTGCTTTGTAGTCGTAAATGTTAATATTATTGCCTTGCTGTCTTTATCTGAGATTAAATATGAAAAATGGAGAATAATGGGTAATTCCAATTTAATAAATATTATATAGCGGTTAATATAAGTCCCCTTGCGGCTGAAAAATTTAATATAACAATGAGCGATATGTAAGATTTGGGGTATCCTTTGGAAGCCTCCCCCCCTACTCATCCAGACTGTGTCAATATCACAAAGACTATCCAGGCTTCGCCCCGAAAAATTTAATTTAAATTCTATCAATCACATTTATAAGATGTGCATCTATTCCCACCATATCCGGGAGGACAACGACATTTGCATTTATCCATTGGGTCTGGATAACCTCCATTTTTGCATTCTCCATTATTTAATTTATAATCCTCTGGATTACATTTAGCATAATTAGCAATATGTGGATTGTTACTTGTGCCTATATAAAAATAATAGTTACATATTATTAAATAATTACTAAAAAAATTTTCCAATGATTTTTAATCTATTGATTCATAACTGAAACAAGTTAAAAATGATTTATGTTAAATATCCGTCAAGGTTTAACAATATAAATAACATGTATCATCTAAGTTGGATCATACTAGACCAGCTCTAGATAATGTTATCTAGGGCATAAATATATTTTGTCTATAATCATGCAAGTGTTACTATAATAGTAATGAGTCACGTATATGGAGCTAACTGTATTATTTTCGTTAAATTTTAAATTTCATTTGATTAAAATAAATATAATCTTTATATTCTTACAATATACTAGATTTAAAATTTTTGCATCTTTAAAGGAAATGTCAATTCGTTGTCCCATTGTCGACTGATAATCTCGCATTAAAGAAATAATTTCGAATCTTAAATTGAATATTATACTGTACTATTAATTAAATTCCATCTACATAATTAAAGGTTATCGAACAAAAAACACAAAATGATTTTCTAAACAGCCGGGACGCGGCTCTCTTAATAATAAAAGTACGAAAAACATACATGCCAGATTTATAATCTTCTGGAGGATAATGCATAACCGAACCATAATCATATCGTTGATTAAACTGTCTTGAATTGTTCAAACGGTGGTATTGTTTTTTCATCTAAAAATTTTGAATATGAATTGATTAAATACCGTATTTTCACACTCCAGTTGAATGCTCCTGTAATTGAATGCCCACTTGGAGGATGATTAAATTATTAGATGCCAGGGCTTTCAATTAGAGGAAATACAGTAAATTAATAACATAAACGCATTAAAACTCCGAAAAATTAAAAACAGCGTTATGTAAAATTCTAATAAAAATTAATCGTGGACCGCCAATTGTGATCCTAAATTGAACTAATCTTGAGAAATAAATTAATTATTTTTTAAACTAGTTGTCTAAAAACAATTCAGATCTAATAATAATACGAAAATACATCGTCGCTGATGTCTTTAAAGTTAATCCAAACAGAACCATTGCGGTCAGCACGAATCATCTCATGATGAAAACCCAAAGCATGCATAACCTCATGTGCAACTATTCCAACCTAAAAATATTTTTTATTGTTTTTGTCCATATTTTATCTTCAAATTTTGAAAAGTTTTTTTAAATTTTTTAAATAGACAGTTCGCCAGGTCGCTTCCTGGCCGGGCACCATCAGAGATGCGCGCATTAAAAATTTCCGTAATCGCAATCCGCAAGCCGGAATTTTAATTTTAAAATCCGCAAACGCAATCCGCAAGTCAAAAAACGAACCATTTATGGTGCGTGAAATTACAAAAAAATTCTAAAAATCTGCAATTGCAATTCAAAAAAAAACATCCGCAATACACAATCCGCAATTGCGTGCATCCCTGGTCACCATACTTTTACAAATCCTTGCAATTTTATGCTTATAATTTAACTCACTCTATTACAACCATATAAAGACAATTGAATATAATGTTCGAAGCCAGAATAACCATTAGCTCCAACATTAGTTCCACATCCCCGCCCAAAAGGTGAAAATATGATATGTTTCACTTCATTATTTTCCAAAGAATTATTAAGTTTTTCAAATTTAATACATGTTTTCTGACTAAATTTAAAAATTTAGAAATAATACCATTTCCTAAATTTAAAAATTAGGAAAAGGAAAAATTAGGAAAAATGGCCCGGTGCCAAAACGACCCTAACCGATTTATAGGCCTATTTTGAAGAATAGATTTTATTATAAAAATGAATTATTTAACCTTATAAGATCAAGACCTTCCTTGATCATATCAATCCACACAGCTGCAATTTTTACAATTAATATAAAAAATTTTATGTTAGGGATCAGTTGCTCGGGACCATTTAGGAAACATTGAAACCCCAATATGAAAAGTATATCCGACATTCATTCAATAATAACTACAGACCGGTTTAAAAACAAAAAACGGATCTGCTATAGATAGAGAGATGTAAAAAAACTCAAAAAATTTCATCCCGCCTCTTTAATCTTCTAAATTAT